TGACCAAGTGATCCTCCCACCTTGGCCTCTCAAAGTGCTGTGATTACAAGTGTGAACCACCCCGGCCCGGCACACCCAGCTAATTTTTTTTTTCTTTTTTTGAGACGGAGTCTCGCTCTGTCACCCAGGCTGGGAGTGCAGTGGCCGGATCTAGGCTACTGCAAGCTCCACCTCCGGTTTACGCGCATCTCCTCCTTCAGCCTCCCGAGTAACTGGGACTACAGGCGCCCGCCACCTCGCCCGGCTAGTTTTTGTTATTTTTTAGTAGAGAATGGGGTTTCACCGTGTTAAGCCAGGATGGTCTCAATCTCCTGACCTCGTGATCCGCCCATCTCGGCCTCCCAAGTGCTGGGATTACAGGCTTGAGCCACTGCACCCAGCCCACCCAGCTAATTTTTATATTTTTTTAGTAGAGATGGGGTTTCCACCATGTTGGCCAGGTTGTGGGTTTTTTGGTTGTTTTTTTGTTTCTTTTTTTTGAATGGAGGCCTTACTTGCTTTCTGTTGCCCAGTCTGAAGGGCAGTCCGGTGGCAGGTGCCTGTAATTCCAGCTACTCAGGAGGGGAGGCAGGAGAACTGCTTGAACCCAGGAGGTGGAGAATGAGTGAGCTGAGATAGCACCACTGCACTCCAGCCTGAGTGACAGAGCAAGACTCTGTCTCAAAAAACAAAAAAACAAAAAACCTTGAAGACACGCCTATTCATTTTGCTTCCGCTAAGGTTAAGCACAGCAAAGCCCAAAGAAGGCCCTTTACAAATATGAAACTAACCAGTGGACAACAGGTTCGTTTCTAATGTAAAACTAAAATCAGAAAATGAAATAGGAATAAAATGATGAAACAATGAAGCCGGTCAAGAGAAATGATGGGAAAAGGGTAGCTTACTGAGTTTAAACCCAGCTTTGCAACTTATTATTTATGTGATTCTGGACAAGTAGTATTTAATCTCTCTGAGAGTTATTTGCTTAGTCATACCTTGGAAAAAGAATGCCTATGTCATACCAGGTTCCACTGCACTAACAGAGCAACTGTGAGGATACAAGCTAATGTCGACCTGGCCCAGTCCTTGGCAATCTACAGAGGCTCCATAATGTTGGTTATTATAACCAACCAGCAGAATTATCAGGGCCATATGAGTCACTGGCGGTACCCAGCTACAGTGTGGTCAAGAGAGGACTCTGAAGCCAGGCCATCTAGGTTCACACCTTGGCCCTGTCTCCACTAGAATGTGAGTTCTACAAGGGCAGGAAGCTCTGTTTTGTTCATCGACACATCCTAAGTTCCTAGTACTGTGCCTGGCACATGGCAAACGCTCGATAATTACTTTACTAATTGAATAAATGAATGAATGCTCCAGGCGTGGGGATAATCAAACAAATAACTAGGCTTTTTTTTTTTGTAAGTTAATGCATTTCATATTACCTTTGGTGCTTTTTTTTCCTCTATTCCAACTCGGTCGAAACACTCGATGAGGTAGTTCAGCATATCTGTCTCTTTGCAGGTTTCAATGGTGAAATGGTCACTGTAGGAATCCCAATTACTTGCTCCACCAGAGGCTCCCAAACTTTAGAGAAGATAAAAAGAAATTATGATTCTTATCTCTTGAATATCTTTGGCAGAGTTTGCATTTCTGCAGCAGAAAGCCTGTTAGGATCCCTGCACACATAACAAAGCACAAACACCCATGCTGCCAAGATCCACCCTGACTGCTCGTTTTACCTGCTCCAAAGCCAACAACAGTAACTTTTAGTAACATTTTAGGGACCTAAGAAGGGTTGCTTCTTACTGCAGGTGGCAACTTATAAAACCAGAAGCACTAAGAACTGGTACTAAGTGTTAAACATTGGAAGGGACATCACAGGTCCTTTAACCAAAAAGAATGGCATCACCCAGAGACCTGTAGGTTAAAGCCAGACTATGCTACTGCTGTAATCGAATTCTTTAGGGGAGAAGTTATAAGGGACTAACAAAATAGCCCTCATCTTTGTGACTTCCACCGTGGATCTCAAAAGCCCTCATCTAACATTTGGCAATAGAACCAGAGGTTAAAAAACTCTCCAGTTAGGAGGAGACATGAACATATTTGCTATCAACATAAAAACTCCAAAACTATCAGTGAAAAAGGTAAAGTAGCAGAATAAAAGACAAAACAAAAATATTGTACTAGGAGTAACCATACGTAGGTTCCAGTCTCAACCCCACTGCTTACTTGTTACCTGAACCTAGAACCTCTATCTCTTTTGCAGTGGGGTTTTAATGAAATAAAGTGGAGGTACTCTGTAAAATATCAGCAGTATACACTGTGAAGCACTGTTATGTTAGTAATAACTATCCTCTGAGACAAAAACCAAACATAATCACAAGAGTTAAATTTGAGGAAATTAAACAAAGTTAAAATCAACCACTGACAGGCCACATAATGAATCTGGTGTTTAATTCACAAACTGATTTGATATACATAAAAGACACATAGGGATTAATTACGACAAAGGAAAAAGTAAGGAGTACTGAAATGAAGAAAATGAGGAAACATAAACTTAGCAAAAAAACTACACATAGAAGATGATAAAGGATGAGAATATGGCTGGGCATGGTGACTCATGCCTGTAATCCCAGCACTTTCAAAGGCCAAGGCAGGTGGATCACTTGAGGCCAGGAGTTCAAGACCAGCCTGACCAACAGGGCGAAACCCTGTTTCTACTAAAAATACAAGAATTTGTTGGACATGGTGGCACACGTCTGTAATCCCAGCCACTTAGGAGGCTGAGGCACAAGAATCACTTGAACGTGGGAGGAGGCTGTTGCAGTGATCCAAGATCATGCCACTGCACTCCTGCCTGGGTGACAGAGAGAGACGCTGTCCTAAAAAAGAAGAAAAAAAGTATGGGAACATCAGGAATGTGAGAGACACACCCCTACTTAAACCCAGGACACACAATTAATGTCTAGAAACTAACAGGACCAAGAGGAATTGACATGTTTTACAGACAGATAGATATGCATAACTAATTTTGGAACACATTTGGAACACATGCGCCACATAACAACATTTCACTCTATGATGGACCAAATATACCACAGTGGTCCCACAAGGTTATAATGCCATATTTTGACTGTATCTTTTCTATGTTTAGATATGCTTAGATACACAAATACTCACCATAATTGGCATAATCATCGAATTGCCTACAGTGTTCAGTACACTAACATGCTGTACAGGTTTATAGCCTAAGAGAAACAGGCTATATACAACAGGCTATATACAATGCCTAGGTGTGTAGTAGGCTGTATGATCTAGGTTTGTGTAAGTATATTCTATGCTGTTCACACAATGACCAATCCGCCTAATGATGCATTTCTCAGAATGTATCCCTGTCATTAAGGGACACATGTCTATATGGACATCATTATCCTTAGACTTTTGGAAAGATATACATAATTGACCTTGGAATAAAGGTATGCTATTGGCCAAGCACGGTGGCTCATGCCTGTAATCCCAGCACTTTGGGAGGCTGAGGCAGGTGGATCACTTGAGGTACAGGAGTTCAAGACCAGCCTGACCAACATGGTGAAACCCTATCTCTACTAAAAATACAGAAAACTTAGCCGAACGTGGTGGCGCGTGTCTGTAATTCCAGCTACTTGGGAGGCTGAGGCAGGAGAATCTCTTAAACCCGGGAGGCGGAGGCAGTAGTAAGCTGAGATCGCACCACTGCACTCCAGCCTGGGCAAGAGAGTAACTATGATATTGGCTGGGCATGGTGGCTCATGCCTGTAATCCCAGCACTTTTTTTTTGAGATGGAGTCTCGCTCTGTTGCCCAGGCTGGAGTGTAGTGGCGCCATCTTGGCTCACTGCAAGCTCCGCCTCCCAGGTTCCCGCCATTCTTCTGCCTCAGCCTCCCAAGTAGCTGGGACTGCAGGCGCCCGCCACCATGCCTGGCTAACTTTTGTATTTTTAGTAGAGACAGGGTTTCACCATGTTGGCCAGGATGGTCTCAATCTCCTACCTCATGATCCACCCACTTTGGCCTCCCAAAGTGCTGGGATTACAGGCATAAGCCACCGTGTCCGGCTGCAAAGCATCTTATGTTTGATGTCAATAGGTCCTTACCAGCTGCCAGGCCTCAGTCTGATGCAGCACCCACAGCCAGCATGTGAGCGTGCATGTGAACTCAGCATGCTTAGATGGTGCTGGCTCATGTAACTGCCACTGAAATTATTCCCATTCCTGGCAATACATCCTACTTCATTTTAACTTAAATGTGAAACCCTCACTGCCACTTGAAATATTTTCACAAACCGTTCACTAACACATGAAAAGTGACAATGTATGTAGAAGACTATGTAGACGATTGCTTTTCTTGTGCCAGGCAATGCAAGGAAAGGCACTCAGGATATATGAGAGAATTTTCAAAAGAGGTCAGTGTGTTTTGGTGATTGATATGGTTGCGATGTCTGTCCCCTCCAAATCTCATGTTGAAATGCAGTCTCCAGTGTTGGGGCAGGGCCTAGCGGGAGGTGACTGGTTTTGATGATTGATATGGTTGCGATGTCTGTCCCCTCCAAATCTCATGTTGAAATGTAGTCCCCAGTGTTGGGGCAGGGCCTAGCCGGAGGTGACTGGCTTTGGTGATTGATATGGTTGCGATGTCTGTCCCCTCCAAATCTCATGTTGAAATGCAGTCCCCCGTGTTGGAGCAGGGCCTAGGGGGAGGTGACTGGATCATGGGGGCAGATCCCTCACGAATGGCTTAGCACCATCCCCTTGGAGATGAGTGAGCTCCCACTCAGTGAGTTCACATGAGATGTGGTTGTTTAAAAGAGTCTGGGACATCCTCCTCCTCCTCTCTGTTGCTCCTGCTTTCGCCATGTGACCTGCCTCCTCCCCTTTCACCTCCTGCCATGAGTGGAAGCTTTCTGAGGCCCTCACAAGAAGCCGATGCTGGTGTCATGCTTCTTGAACAGCCTGAGGTACCGTGAGCCAATCAAACCTCTTTTCGTTATAAATTACCCTTTCTGTATGGCAATGCAAACAGACTAACACAGTGATCATCAGCCAGGCACCAAACAAGCTGACTTTCAAGAGGAGCGGTGTGGCGGGGGCAGGGAGGGGAGAGGGGAGTGAAACAAAGCTTCAACCAAACAGGAAATGTAGCATCAACCTCAGTATTTGTCAATATGTGTCACAATTATAATATTAATCCTAAAGGTGCCAGAGTAAATCATGATCACAAGTAAGAAAAAGTGGCCAGTTTCACTAACACAAGCATAAGTGTCAATGGTCAAAAACTGATTTACAAGAATTTTTAGATTCAAACTGAAAGAGGTAGATTCATATTTTAAGTGTGACATTGAAGGAGAAAGCAGTATATCGTACATGCATAAATTTATGCTATGAAGAAATATTTCTATACTTTGGGAGGCTCAGGTGGGCAGATCACCTGAGGTCAGGAGTTCGAGACCAGCCTGGCCAATGTGGTGAAACCCCATCTCTACTAAAAATGCAAAAATTAGCTGGGCGTGGTGACAGGTGCCTATAATCCCAGCTACTTGGGAGGCTAAGGCAGGTGAATCACTTGAACCCAGGAGATGGAGGCTGCAATGAGCTGAGATCACGCCACTGCACTCCAGCCTGGGAGACAGAGTGAGACTCCGTCTAAAACAAAACAAAACAAAAAATAAATATTTCTAAATGTTTAAAGTAGTATTTCATATTTTCCCTCAGCTGTTACAAAATTCATGATGCTTTTAAAACTGTGACATCCTAAAATCTTGGAAATATGTCATATTTAAGTCCTAAGAGCACCTAGAAAATTATACCTCCCTCTGGGAGAATATGCAAACCATTTTCTGATAACTACATTAGCAGTCCAATGTAACCAAGTAATTACTTCACATAATAGAAACAGAGCTGCATCCTTCTGAAAACACAATGAAAATGTGCCTAGAGATTACACGTGTATCAGATCTGTGCAGACTGAATCCCATTTTAAATGCGCCAATAAAATTTGCTCTTAAAGGGACTCTGTTTCGGTCTCTTCTATAATTACCCTCCCATTTACTGACTTCTCAAATGCAGGCTTTGGAATTTGCATTTTCTTTTTGTTTTTTTGAGAGAGTCTTGCTCTGTCACCCAGGCTGGAGTGTAGTGGTGTGATCTTGGCTCACTGTAACCTCTGCCTCCCGGGTTCAAGTGAATTCTCCTGCCTCAGCCTCTCTAGCCTCCTGACCTCAAGTGATCCGCCCACCTCGGCCCCCCAAAGTGCTGGGATTACAGGTGTGAGCCACCATGCCTGGCCTTGCATTTTCTAGTAGCAAGGCAAAGTCAGAGTTGTGCAGGTTTAAGCACCATAAATTCATTTAACAAATGTTGCTAATGGACATCCTGCGTTCTAGGCACTGCTGTAGGTCCTGGAATAGTGCATGGAACCAGGCAGATGCAGAGCGATGGCGTGCGTGCGTGGGTGCATGTGTGTTCTATATCATGTTTGAGACAATGAAGTCAGTGGCCACCCTCTATAGACCTGAGGAGAGTGAGGGAGCTGGCCATACAGCTATCTAGCAGGAGAGTGGTCCGAAGGGGAGAAACAAGTACAAAAGCCTAAGGCAGGAGGGAGTATTATGTGCAAAGAACAGGAGTCCAGTATACGCGCTAGGGGAAGTAGGCGAGTAGAGGGAGATTAAGTTAGAATGGGGCATGTATGTGCATGTGTACTTGATGTGGGGGGGTGTGTGTAGTGTGTGGTGTGTGTGTGTAGTATGTGGAGTGTACATGAGATGCAGAACCTTGTAGACCATGGTCAGAGGCTTTGGATTTTACTCTGTGTGAGAAGGGAAATCACTGGGGCATCTTAGGGATAGACATGGTGGAAAGATCGTGTGTGTGTGAGAGAGAGAGAGAAAGAGAGAGAGAGACAGGGTTTCACTCTTACCACCCAGGCTGGTGTGCAGTGGCATGATCATTACTCACTGCAGCCTCTAACTCCTGGGCTCAGGCAAGCCTCCCACCTCAGCCTCCAAAGTGACAGAATTACCTGTGCTTGCCACTGTGCCCAGCCAGAAAGATTTCTTTTCCACTGTTTCTATGTTTCAACCCCAAGCAGTGACCATCAGCAAAAACAGGAGGGTGAATGTCAACGTTTTTCACTATTCACTAATTTTCCCTTTCTCTACTCGTATAAGACTCATGATATTCAAGATCTGACCTCCTTCACTGAAGTATCTACAGTTAAAAAACAAACACAAAACCACCAAATTTCTTTCTAGTCATCAACTTCCTAAGAAACAATTAGAAAACATTTTCCTTAGGATAACTTCTATGGTATCTTTATCACAGGGTAATTCTTTTTTTTTTTTTTCCAGATCAACTTCCAGCTTTTGTTTATTGATTTTTATTAACTTTCATTTTAGGTTTGGGGGTACATATGAAGGTTTGTTACACAGGTAAATTCCTGTTAAGGAGGCTTGCTGTACAGATTATTTCATCACCCATGCATTAAGCCCAGCACCCAACAGTTATCTCTTCACAGACGGTAATTCTCACTTCACTCCCTTATGCCACTCCCGCAAAAAGCAGTTTCTTATAACTCAAACAGTTTTCTCAGAAGTCTGCAAAACATTACAGAAGGAATGTTTTACCTTTTTAAAATTAATCCGTATCATCACCCTTATAAATACTTAGCATATAAATGTATGTCTCAACTACTTCCAAAAAGATTTGTAAGACATCGAATCCACTGGGCCAGCAGATGGAGAAAGTGATCCAACCCCTGATGATTCTTTCTTCTGTGACATTAGTCTTACCAGGCAAGGAGGGAGTGTTAAAATTGCTTACTTCAGAGTAAACAAAATTCTGGGAAGATCAATTAGAAAGGGGGAAGGAAAAATACTATTTCTTTGCTGACTGCTCAAAGTAACATGGTTTTGGTTGTACGCAGTGGCTCACGCCTGTAATCCCGGCACTTTGGGAGGCCGAGGCAGGCAGATCACCTGAAGTCAGGAGTTTGAGACTTTGGGAGGCCAAGGTGGGCAGTTTAACCTGAGGTCTGGAGTTTGAGACCACCCTGGCCAACATGGTGAAACTCTGTCTCTACTAAAAATACAAAAATTAGCCAGGTGTGGTGGCATGTGCCTGTAATCCCAGCTACTTGGGAGGCTGAGGCACGAGAATTGCTTAAACCTAGGAGGTGGCGGCTGCAGTGAGCCGAGATTGCTCCACTGCACTCCAGCTTGGGTGACAAAGTGAGATTCTGTCTCAAAAAAAAAAAAAAAAAACAAGGTTTTTTACTAGCTGTCCTTGGCTCTGATCCTACTTAGAAGAACCCTAAGTTCTTCTATCTGTTTACATAGTTGTTACGTATTTTTACCCATGCTTTGGCATTCTTTTTTATATCAACTAAGAACCAGTAAGTTGCCAAAATCTGGATGATCACAGTTCATTGTAACAGCCAACAAGGGACATACCAACTGACTGGGATGGCATTTTGTAATTAAGGAGCGAAATGCCGGCACTTCTTGCCAAAGGAACCGAGTAGATGCACAGACTCTCAGAAGCAAAAACAGTAGTAAGGAACAAGAACAAACAAAATCTGTTTGGGTGAAAATGGAAAAGTGGGTGTCAGCACGGTGTGGTGGTGAAGAACGTGAATCTGGATTCAGGATGCTCGAGTCTGAATGTATTTCTGTGACTTTTGTCCATCCCCTCTTGTCCATCCCCCACTACACCATCCACTCTCCCCCGCCCATTCCCCCCCGCTACCACTTCCTCACAGCAGGCTATAGCGAGGAGTAAAAGGGCTAATGCATGGCCAGTGCTGCACCATATCTGGCGCACAATGCTCCATAAGCTATTTGCAGCTATTTTTATACACTTGGTTATTCCTCCTAGTAGGGAGAGAATTTAGATCTGAGGCAAGGTTGGGGTGTTAGAAGTCCAGAAAGAGCGGTATTAGTAAAAGCAGCACACAATCTGATACGGTTGTTAGAGAAAGTCACAACTAAATAGGCCAGGGAGAGAGAATTTTTCCCACAGAAAATGTACAGTAAAACAGATAACACGGCACTTTCACCATGTGGAAACTGATTCCTAGGAAGGATGCCTGCTTTTTTACTACAATCATGCAATAGGATTTTATCTACATGAAAAAGACACTTTCACCTTTGGGAAATTTACTTGAAAAATGGTGATAAAATGTTCAACGTAATACAAATATCAACCTTCCTGAATCAATATTCAACCTTGTATCAACATTCCTGTCCCTTTATATATTCCCTAATGATTCTTCTGAACACCATCGAATTGAATGAAGTGTACCTAACTCCTACTGCAGTCTCTATTTATAGCCTGGAGTTATTTTTGAACAGTGCTAGGCACAAACACCAACTCAGTCCAGAGGAAACTTCGATTTAAGAGCAAAATTGTAAGACAATGAGTCAGAGGATTAGAAAGAAGGTGCTATTATATTCTCTTGCTCAAAGTCACCTACACAACCCAAGTAGTGTTTTCCACTCGGTTTCCAGGGGTAAACATTTAGCAATATCCGGAACTATGTTTCAGCCTCTGCGGTCATTTCAAAGGCTCTATAAACAAATGGGGTCTGGCTTCACTGAGGTCCAGGAGGTGCTAAGAGAAATTTAAGGCTAGACATGAAAGCAGAGTCACAGTTATTATACCAGACAGTATGACCTCATATGTTCTTCGATGGATTGCCCAGACTGAGCTCAATGAGGGTGAACAGGGAGGTGGGGGAGGCCAGGAGGGGGTGGGAAGGGAACACACACACACACACACACACACACACACATACACACACACATACACAGCCCTCCCTCAAATCCCAGCCCCTCTCCCATTACTAAATAGCAGCAATCCATGCAACTGTACTTAAGCAAACATGCCTCAGAGAGTACAAGTTGTCATATCTGGTAGTTCACAATAACATTCTCGCAACAAATGAAGGGTCCTTCATTTTAGATCTAAAGGCGGATAACCTTGATGACTGATCTTTAATCTGTTTTCATGCTTTTGCAAAATGATTATACACAAAGTTGTCCTCCAAACTTGCCAGGCGACAACTCTGAAAATTCTCAGGCCAGGCGCAGTGGCTCACTCCTGTAATCCCAACACTTTGGGAGGCCAAGGCGGGCAGATCACTTGAAGTCAGGAGTTCGAGACCAGTCTGGCCAACCTGGCGAAACCCCGTCTCTACTAAAAATACAAAAATTAGCCAAGCATGGTGGCGGGTGCCTGTAATCCCAGCCACTTGGAAGGCCGAGGCAGGAGAATCGCTTGAACCCAGGAGGCGGAGGTTGCAGTGAGCCAAGATCGCGCCATTGCACTCCAGCCTGGGCAACAAGAGCAGAACTCTGTCTCAAAAAAAAAAAGAAAGAAAAAAAGAAAATACTCCTATGTGCTACTTTATCCCATAAGGTCTGAACATATCAATATACTCTGGAGCCCACCTCATTTGACCGTATCCTGCCTGGATTCAAAGCACACCCCTTGTTAGAGCTTATAGAAGTTAGTTCCTAAGCATCTATGCACATGCAGGGATAAGACTCCATTCCTCTGATACCTGGACCCAAACTGGACACAAGAAAAATCATCACCACCACCACCACCTTCATCATCACCATCACCATCATCATCATCTTCTTCTTCATCTTCTTCATCACTACTGTCCCCAGAAAGTGCGAGGAAGAGGAAGGAGAAAGGATTGTCGTACATACTACCACAACAAAAGCAAAAAAGGCCATCAGAGAACAAAGAAAAAACAAGAGGGGGAGAAGCTTTTGCAACTGCTATCCTTTTAAATAAACCTTACACTAAACCTTTTGGCCACTGACATGCAGAAACATAATTCACCAAAATTATAGAAACACATATAGGTACATTTGAGAGAAGGGGCCACTGGATTAGTGGAATTCTGACACTCCTTCCTTCTAAGAGACTGAACTTACATATAACTAAAACTCAACATGTCAGGGCATGAACCTACCCACCCCACTCACCAGAAGTAAAAAACACCAGGTCCAGATTTGCTCCCACACCTGCTTGGTCTGATTGCATTTCAACTACCACTGGCAACAGGACAAAAGGCCAAAAAGTGTTCCCGTGTGCCCCAACTCTCAAAGGGAAGAAAGGGACTCACAATAGAATAGAGCAACCCAAACTTTCCAGCATGATCAGAGCCTGGTAGAAGCATGGACTCAGAGTACATGCCTACCAAACTGGTTAGCCACACAGGTTAATAACCCAAAACAACAATTTAACGGAGTCAGTGTCACACAGCACTTCTTCCAAACCGTGTTAATCTCCTTTCCCTGCACCGCAAACACACACACAAGTCTCCTGCAGGATAAATACCTAGGAGAGATCCTCAGGGAGGAGGGGCGTCTGCTCGCGGCACTGGGTGAGGCGGGTGGTAGGGGTGGACCCGTGCTGCTGGGCCTCTGTCTGGAACTGCTGGCGGGCACTGCTTGGGGGCTACTGGCAAGGGCAGGGGGACTTGGGGAGCTCGACAGAATGGAGACGCCTGAGGACGCCCATGGGTGAGTGACAGTGTAGGGGCGATACCGCGGGGATGAAGGCTGGCTTCCCGCAGCAGTTCCAGAGGCTGCACTGTGAGGACTGAGGGGAGTGGAAGGCACAGCCAACTGGCTGGCTGCACGGGAAGGTGAGGCAAGAGACGGGCCCATCCTGGGAACAGAGCTCCAGAAACTGGGGGTGGGAGCTGGACTACTTTCATAGAGGCTAAATTAGTTGAGAAAGGGAGGAAAGAAGAGAAAAATCAAAGAAAAACTTGAGATAACTGACTAAAACAGAAAGTATCAAGCTTTTAAAGGAGAACCATTTCAGTTCAAGTATATCTAGCAGATAAATATCTAAATAATTATAATCTAATTGCTCTATTGATCTAGAGGCTATACTTACAAGACAATAAAGTCCCCATACGAAGAATGATGTAGTACACACAGTCAACTGCTTCTAAAACTTCATCTACCAATATCTTAACCATAGAGAGTCAAAAAGTAATCATCTAGAAAAGAGAATTCCACTTCCAATGACTAAATCCACCTCCCCAAATATGATATATGCCATACCCTGTATGACACAGATTAACATTGTAAACAAACATTCCCTTCTCCTATATACTTCACAGTTATTTTACTACCAGTTAGATGTGCAAAGAAAACCACACTAACCTAGACAAAGAGCTGGCACCAAAGGAACCCACGTTGCAGAACATGGGGCTTGTTCCTGGATTGGAGCCAGTGTTTAGCAAGAGGTTTCTGTCTGGTGACCGTGCTGCTGCAGCAATTGGCTGTGATGTGGCTGTCAGACTGGCAAATGGGTTTTCATCTCTAGTCTGAGTGGACATCATTAGCACTTCCATTAAAATCTGGCCAATCAAGTCCTTAAAATCGGAGAACACTGTTGGAAAGGCAGAATAAAGAACAGGTTACACACAGTTCGAACTCAGGTTACACAGCCCTTGAATAAGCCAACTGACCCCGAGTGGTTCAATGCAGTATCCTGGATTGGATTCTGGAATGGTAAATGGATATTAGTGGAAAACCTGGTACAACCTAAATAAAGCCTTGTGTTTAGTTAGTAGTAATTTCTTAGTTTTGACAAATGTACCATGGTTACATAAGATATTAACATCAGGGGAAACTGGGTAAAGTATATACAGGAACTCCCTGCACTAACTGAAACTATTCCAAAACTAAAAGTTTATTAAAAAGAAAGTTGGGGTACAGTCATTGAGAGTTACTGCTGATGTATACTAATTGTAAAAAGAAGCTACTCCCAACTATAGAGGTTACTTTATTATACTACAAATGTAACTGGGTTAATATTTCTTAGTCTAGATATGTTTTATAGATAGTAATAAAACTATTAAGTCCAAGGTTCAAAAGATTTTATGAAGGGTCCAATATCTAGTCACCATGTGGCTGGCAGGAGCAAATGCTAGCTTCCTTTTTATTCTTTGCAGCTCCCAGTTGATTTACTGTTGGTCTTTAGATACATTTTAAATACCACTAAAAAAAGTTTTAACTCATGGAAATTTTATCTGATTTGGTTATTTAAAATTACCACTTACATGTGTAAGATAGATTTGAGAATCTTAAGATTTATAGTAAGAATAACAAGTAGCAGAGTTTCAAATACATGGTCTTCTCCATTAGCAGAGTTAATAAGTAAAATCAGAAATAGTCTTATCTATCCTCCGCAAACACAAAGGACTTCTTTTCTTCCCTCCTCAGAAGATAGGCAGCACAGAAAAGAAAAAGGCGATCTCCTTGATATTCACGCATCCATTTAAAATGTATCTGTTGAGGGCACTATTTTGTGCAAGATGTCCTTCTAGGCATTGGAGATACATCAATGAGTAAAAGAGACAAAAATCCCTACCATGAGGGAGGTTATATTCCAGTGACAGGCAAAAGAAACCACTCCAGCACACCTCCCATACCTCTTCTGCATTCCAAATGACTGCTGTAAAGAATAAGGATAGTGCCCTGATGCTGATATCTTGCTAAGAGTTTTAATATTTTGTTACGAGCATGGCCTCTTAAAGTAGAATATCAGAAACACAGCAAAATGTCATTATGTTCTCTCTTGCTAAGCAATTTAGCCAAATAGACCAATTCCACTGTCTATACATGGCTTCACAGGCACTTCAAGCAGGTATAGTTCATACAGAACACTTCTCTAAGGATCCCTGGAGACCACTCACTATATCTATACTTCGTAAGAGGAGGTAAGGCCAGGCTTGGTGGCTCCAGCCTGAAATCCCAGCACTTTGGGAGGCCGAGGCGGGCGGATCACGAGGTGAAGAGATCGAGACCATCCTGGCCAACATGGTGAAATCCCATCTCTACTAAAACTATAAAAATTAGCTGGGTGTGGTGGTGCATGCCTGTAGTCCCAGCTACTCGAGTGGCCGAGGCAGAAGAATCGCTTGAACTCAGGAGGCAGAGGTTGCAGTCAGCCGAGATTGCGCTACTACACTCCAGCCTGGTGACAGAGCAAGACTCCGTCTCAAATAAATAAATAAATAAATAAATAAATAAATAAAGACGAGGTAATGCTCTAAGCACCTTCTTACTACAAAGGGAAAAACTTCAACCCTGAGAAAATGGAGACCATTAACTTATTTACATAGTATTGTAGAAATCATGAAAATGAAAAATAAGTTATCGATAAGATCAGTGGAAAGGGAAGAAAGTGGCTAAACAGCTGTGTCCTCATCAAGAAGTATCCCTGTCATCAAAAATACAACTCAAGAGCAAGAAGGAGTGAATGTGGAGAACAGACAGCAAAGATCTCACGTCTTATTTTCTTGTTGAGTACTCTGCAGTACGACTGCTGAGCTAGATTCCTACCTTCTTTTGGGTTCTGCTTAAACTGTGCAGAAAGAGAAGAAAGAAAGATGACATCTCTGTCCCGGTCCTTCCAAGAGACACGGAAGATCTTACAGACCAGCTGTAAGGCCTGCTCTTCAGACACTTCAGGGCCCGAGGAAGGCTCCTGGTGAAGAAGATTTGCGGGTTAATTTCAAATAAGACGTATGAGTTAGGTACTTCAATAGGAATACGTTATTCTGATTTAATTCATTATTAGTGATGATATTTTAAAAATGCATAAAACCATGCACCCACTGATGAGGGGAAAAGTAAGCCTGTTACTGTAACATCAAAGTTACAACATCTAAGTCTCATGAGCTTATAATACAATCTACGGGGAGCATAAAAGAGCAAAGATGGCCAGGCGTGGAGGCTCACACCTGTAATCCCAGCACTCTGGAAGGCCGCAGCCAGTGGATCACCTGAGGTCAGGAGTTCAAGACCAGCCTGGCCAACATGGTGAAGCCCTGCCTCTACTAAAAATACAAAAATTAGCCAGGCACGGTGGCGGGCACCTATAATCCCAGCTACTCGGGAGGCTATGGCAGGAGAATCACTTGAACCCAGGAGGCAGAGGTGGTGGTGAGCCGAGATCACGCCACTGCACTCCAGCCAGCCTGGGCAACAACAGAATGAGGCACTGTGTCAAAAAAAAAAAAAAAAAAAGAGCAAAGGTGTTATCAAAAGTCATCAAGGAAAAATATGTGATGTACATATCCTATCTATTTACTTTTCTGAATTCCACAGGACCAGGTTAACATTCTAGGTGCATGACCAATTTTCCTCCAGGAATTTTTCAAAAATGTAACATTTCTCATTACATACCACCACAGATAAAATATCATATATAAAAGAATTTTGTAAACATTAAAGAACTATACAAAATAAAGCACTGCACCACTAGGAGGCTACAGTGCAACTTCTTATTTTTTCCATTTTTTGTCTTTTTTATTTTTGTTTACAGTGCAACTTCCAATAATCATTAACACATGTTGCTAAAGGATTCCTAATAATTTACTGAACAGAAAGTGATGTAATTATCTATATTAATACACACACACACACACCCCCTAAATGCAGAGCACTAAGCTCAGGTGATATTCATACATAAAGGCTTCATGTTTTCCAAAACCTTCCACTTGCTACTGGATTCTACACATTCTTGCTTCAATTCCCAGTCATTTTCCTCAGAATACTGCTAAAGATGTGACAATCTACTTGCTCAAAAGCAAAAGACCAGGCCGGGCACAGTGGCTAAGGCCCGTAATCCCACACTTTGGGAGGCCAAGGCGTGTGGATCACGAGGTCAGGAGATCGAGACCATCCTGGCTAACACGGTGAAATCCCGTCTCTACTAAAAATACAAAAAATTAGCTGGGCGTGGTGGCGGGTGCCTGTAGTCCCAGCTACTTAGGAGGCTGAGGCAGGAGAATGGCGTAAACCCGGGAGGCGCAGCTTGCAGTGAGCTGAGATCCGGCCACTGCACTCCAGCCTGGGCGACAGAGTGAGACTCTGTCTCAAACAAACAAAAAAAAAGCAAAAGACCAATATAAAGAATTCTTTTGGCCGGGCGTGGTGGCTCAAGCCTGTAATCCCAGCACTTTGGGAGGCTGAGACGGGCAGATCACGAGGTCAGGAGATCGAGACCATCCTGGCTAACACGGTGAAATCCCGTCTCTACTAAAAATACAAAAAATTAGCTGGGCGTGGTGGCGGGTGCCTGTAGTCCCAGCTACTTAGGAGGCTGAGGCAGGAGAATGGTGTGAACCCAGGAGGCAGAGCTTGCAGTAAGCCAAGATCGCACCACTGCACCACTGCACTCCAGCCTGGGCGACAGAGCAAGACTCCGTCTCAAAGAAAATTTTTTTTTTTTTTTCTGAGACGGAGTCTTGCTCTGTCGCCCAGGCTGGAGTGCAGGGGAGCAATCTTGGCTCACTGCAAACTCCACTTCCCAGGTTCACGCCATTCTCCTGCCTCAGCCTTCCAAGTGGCTGGGACTACAGGCGCCCACGCCTGGCTAATTTTTTGTATTTTTTTTTTAGTAGAGACGGGGTTTCACCATGTTAGCCAGGATGGTCTCGATCTCCTGACCTCGTGATCCGCCCACCTCGGCCTCCCAAAGTGCTGGGATAACATAAACAATTCTAATTTGCTCTAAATTAGTTCCTATTACAACCTAAATGTACTGATAAAATCATGGCCCTGAACCAAAAACAGATGGATATTATCAGATCAAAGGACTGAGTTACACTTCCACGAATAAGGGTAATCTAGGTTATTCATTTTTCCTCGAAAGAATAAAAATAATCACCTGCCTAGGACTTCCTGATTTGGGGTGGCCCCACTCTAACAGACTCTACAGATACAAGACATGAAATGTGTTTGTTTATATTACCTGTACCAAGGGCTTCATCGCTTACCAACCTTATCACTGAGGCTCCGTTTTTCTCTTCGATCATTTTCATCAACCTCCATGTTTTCAATTCCTGAATCCACATCCACCTGGGACATGCTTAAAGTACAAAAGACAAATAAGCCTTTTACCTTTTATAAACCTGCACAATGTCACTGTAGCTGCTCCGTGAGAAAAAGTTTTAAAGTATCAGTTAAATCAATCAGGAAAGCAAAATGATAATGGTTCATCTTCTTATTAATTTTTAAGAGTTCTTCATAAATTAGGATCTAAACAATTTGTCTCTCATATATGTTGGAAATATTTTTCCTAAATTGTCATTTTCTTGAGTTCACTTTTTAAAAGTATATCATTGGCCGAGTGCAGTGGTTCACGCCTGTAATCCCAACACTTTGGGAGGCCAAGGCAGGTGGATCACCTGAGGTCGGGAGTTCAAGATCAGCCTGACCAACATAGAGAAACCCCGTCTCTACTAAAAATACAAAATTAGCCGGCCATGGTGGCACATGCCTCTAATCCCAGCTCCACGGGAGGCTGAGGCAGGAGAATCACTTGAATCCGGGACACACAGGTTGCGGTGAGCCGAGATCGCACCATTGCACTCCAGCCTGGGTAACAAGAGCGAAACTCCATCTCAAATAAATAAACAAACAAATAAATAAAAGCATATCATTAAAGTGGGTTATCTATATATAGTATTTTTAAATGACATGAAATTCAAGCAGGTCAGGTGTATCAGCATGCACCTATGGTCCGAGCTACCTAGGAGGCTGAAGCTGGACGATCACTTTAGCCCAGAAGTTTGAGGCTGTATGCACTATTACTGCGTCTGTGAATAACCACTATATCCCAGCGTGGGAAGCATAGCAAAACTCTGTCTCTAAAAAGAATTTAAAATTTTTAAAAATTTAATTAAGAAAATAAAAAATTCAACTGAAGTCTTATTACAAAAACTGGTTAAGTACATATTATTTCCCTCTGATTAAACAACTGCCCTAGCACCATTTATTGCAAAGATCATCCTTTTTACATTAATATGAAATCTCCTATGTCACATGTCCAATTTTCATTAATGAGTGGGTCTATTTCTGGAGATTCATTACTGTTCTGTTAGACAACTGTCTGTCCCTGGTCAATACCACTTTGTCTTAATCACTAAAACTTCACTAGTCTTGATATCTGCTAGATCAATGTCTCCACCTTATTCTTCTACTTTAAGAGGCCTTAGCGATCCCTGGCTCTTTCCTCTTCTACACATACTTAGGAATCAGCCTGAGGAATTCCTTAAAAACCTTCCTGGGATTCTGACCAAAATTTTTTTCACTCGTAGAGATCAAATTGGGGAGAAGTAATATAATTATGTTACTGAGTTTTTATTACTTTCCAAGTATTAAGATCTTCTTTAAGGTCTATCAACAAACTTTAATAATTTTCTCTATAAAAATTTTATCCTTCTTTTGCTAAATTTATTCCTAGGTACCATATGTTAATACTTCTTAATGAAATTGTGAATGGCACCTTTTTAAAAATTAAGTTTTCTAACTTTTTGTTGTTGGCAGACAGGAATGTAACTGATTTTAAATATACACTTCTTATGAGCAACTTGTTTATTTATACATAGAAAGTTTACATGCAAATAATTTTTTTTTTTTTTTTTTTTTGACAGAGTCTTGCTGTGTCACCCAGGCTGTAAGTATATGGGTGCAATCTCGCTCACTGCAACCTCTGCCCCCCCAGGTTTAGCCATTCCTGTCTCGCCTCTAGATAACTGGGAATCTATAGCACGGCGCCACCACGCCAGCTAATTTTTTTTGTATATTAGTGAGACGGGGGGTTTCCATGATGGCTAGGCTGGGTCTGCGAACTCCTGACCTCAAGTGATCTGCTCGGCCTCGGTACTCCCAAAAGTGCTGGGAACAGGCGTTTTGAGCCACTTGCCAGCCAAACATTAAATAATCTATTACAAATATCTGTTGTTTCTCCATTCCCAATCCTTTACTTGTTTCAACTGCCAACCTGTGGGGGCTGAATACAGGAAGAATAGCACCCAGCGTCGAGGCTCACCCTTGTAACCCAGCTTTGGGAGGCCGAGGCAGGTGGATCACAAGGCTCAGGAGATCAAGAAACCATCCGCTTAACACGGTGAAACCCTGTTCTACAAAAATACAAAAAAACTTAGCCCAGCGTGTGGTGGACGCCTATAGTCCGCAGCACTCAGGGGCCTGACAGGAAGAAATAGCTTTAACCCAGGGGGTGGAGCTTGCAGTGAGCAGAGATCGCACCACTGCACTCCATCCTGGGCGACAGAGCAAGACTCTGTCTCAAAAAAAAAAAAAAAAGAACAAGAAATAGTAGTCATCCTTGTTCTTATTGCTGTTTTACAGAAAATGATGCTAACTTCTCACTATTGAATAGGAGAGTTGGTGGAGTTTATTGGCAGATGCCCTTTATATAAGTTAGAGTAAGACAGGCTATACTGTAGTAATACATACACTCTGAAATCTTAGAGGCTTAACACTGTAAGGATTTAGTTCTTGCTTACACAAAGTCTGATGAGAGTGAAGCATCCTTACTCCATCTTTAATCTATGCCATCTGCAATACACAGCCTCCAAGGTCACTGGAGCAAGAGAAGAGGGGGATGGAGGAGGAACATCGGCTCAACTGCCTTCATCTAAAAGTGACACTTGTTACTCTAGTTCATAGTCTACCAGACAGAACTAGTCATTGGCCCCAATTTAACTGTAAAAGAGAATGGGAAATATGCTGGGGAGCATGTGGAATATTTGCTGAACTTTGTCTGTGCCACACTGTGAGTGTAAGGATACTCCTTTCTGTTCCTCATTTTCTTATTATCATGAATTAATGTGGAATTTTATCAAACTCTTGCAGCTACCAACATTATAAGGATTTTCTTTTTAATATACAATATGGTAGAAGATATGTATAGATTTTCTAATGTCAATGTATCCTTACATTCCTAAAGTCAGCCTAAATTGATCATGATATACTATATTTATATTACATTATATTACATTATTTTAAAACAAACTTAATTGAAATATAAGATGCCTATAATCCCAGCACTTTGGGAGGCCGAGATGGGTGGATCACTTGAGGTCAGGAGTCCAACGCCAGCCTGTCCAACATGGTGAAAGCCCGTCTCAACTAAAAATTCAAAAATTAGCCAGGTGTGGTGGCCCATGTCTGTAATCCCAGCTATTCGGGAGGCTGAGGCAGAAGAACTGCTTGAACCCGGGAGGCAGAGGTTGCAGTGAGCCGAGATCATGCCACAACACTCCAGTATAGGAGACAGAGTGAGACTCTGTCTCCAAAAAAAAATAAAGATAAATGCTTGAGGGAATGGACACCCAATTTTCCATGTGTTTATTTATTTATTATTATTTTTTGAGACAAAGTCTCACTCTGTTGCCCAAGCTGGAGTGCAGCAGTGAGATCTCAGCTCACTGCAACCTCCATCTCCCAAGCAACTCTTCTGCCTCAGCCTCCCAAGTAGCCGGGACTACAGGTATATGCCACCATGTATATTTTTAGCAGACATGGGGTTTCACTATGTTGGCCAGGCTGGTCTTGAACTCCTGACCTCGTGATCCACCCACCTCGGCCTCCCAAAGTGCTGGGATTACAGGCGTGAGCCACCATGCCCGGCCCCCATGATGTGTTTATTTTATTTTTATTTATTTATTTTTTTGAGACGGAGTTTCCCTCTTGTTGAACAGGCTGGAGTGCAATGGCACGATCTCGGCTCACCACAAACTCTGCCTCCAGGATTCAAGCTATTCTCCTGCCTTAGCCTCCCGAGTAGCTGGGATTACAGGCATGTGCCACCACACCCAGCTAATTTATATAATTTTAGTAGAGATGGGGTTTCTCCATGTTGGTCAGGCTAGTCTAGAACTCCCAACCTCAGGTAATCTGCCCACCTCGGCCTCCCAAAGTGCTCGGATTACAGGCGTGCGCCACCGCGCCCAACCCCCATGATGTGTTCATTACACATTGCATGCCTGTACCAAAATATCTCAACTACCCCTTAAACATATACATCTACTATGTATCCACTAAAATTAAAAATTGAAAATAGCCGGGCGCGGTGGCTCAAGCCTGTAATCCCAGCACTTTGGGAGGCCGAGACGGGGTCAGGAGATCGAGACCATCCTGGCGAACATGGTGAAACCCCGTCTCTACTAAAAAACACAAAAAACTAGCCGGGCGAAGTGGTGGGCGCCTGTAGTCCCAGCTACTCGGGAGGCTGAGGCAGGAGAATGGCGTAAACCCGGGAGGCGGAGCTTGCAGTGAGCTGAGATCCGGCCACTGCACTCCAGCCTGGGCGACAGAGCCAGACTCTATCTCCAAAAAAAAAAAAAAAAAAAAAAAATTGAAAATAAAAACAGGCCCAGCTTGTTTCTTTGTTTAAATCTGTAAATGTCTTTATTTCCCTTTGCTTTAAACAGTTCCAGGCCAGGCGCAGTGGCTCATGCCTGTAATCCAAGCACTTTGGAAGGGCAGGAGGATCACTTGAGGCCCAGAGTTTGAGAACAGCCTGGGCAACATAAGGAGACCCTGTCTCTACCAAAAATTTAAAAATTAGTCAAGTACGGTAGCATATGCCTACAGTCCAAGCTGATTTGGAGGTTGAGGTGGGAGCACTGCATGAGCCTGGGAGGTCGCAAGGCTGCAGTGAGTCATGACAGCAGCACTGCATTCCTGCCTGAATAAAAGAGTGAGACCCCGTCTCGAAAAAAAGTCAGGAGTTCGAGACCAGCCTGACCAACAGGATGAAACCCCGTCTCTACCAAAAATAAATACAAAACTTAGCCACGTGTGGTGGCCCACGCCTGTAGTCCCAGCTACTAGGGAGGCTGAGGCATGAGAAGTGCTTGAACCCTGGAAGCAGAGGCTGCAGTCGAGCAGAGACTGCGCCACTGCACTCCACCTTGGGTGACAGAGTGAGACCCTGTTTCGAAAAAAAAGAGAGAGAGAGAAAAGAAAACATAAAAAAGAAAAAGGGCAGTTCCACAGGAGTTCACATTTCCCAGCTGACAGTTACTTTCTTTCAACTACTATTCTGCCATCCTGTGGCCTCCACCATTGAGATATTTGGCTGTCATTTCTTTTCTAGATAATCTCTCTTTTCACTCTGGCTGCTTTAATGGTCTTTGTCTCTGCAAGGAGTGGGGGCATTTATATTTAAATAAATAAATAAATAAATAGGTTTTTGTCACCAGTGTTCTATAATTTCACCATAAAATGTGTAGGTATGACTTTCTCTTTGTTTATTCTGCTTGGGATTCACTAGGCTTCCTAAATCTGAAGATTCATATCATTTACCAACTCTCAACAAAAATTCAATCATTTATTATAATTTTTTTTTTTTTTTTGAGACACAATCTCACCCTGTTGCTTAGGCTGGAGTGCAGTGGTGTGATCTCAGCTTACTGCAATCTCCGCTTCCCGGGTTCAAGCAATTCTCCTGCCTCAGCCTCCTGAGTAGCTAGGATTACAGGGGCATGCCACCACAACCCACTCATTTTTGTATTTTTAGTAGATATGGGGTTTCAACATGTTGGCCAGGCTGGTCTCGAACTCCTGACCTCAAGTGAATGCCTGCCTCGGCCTCCCAAAGTGCTGGGATTACAGGCGTAAGCCACTGCTCCTGGCCTGATTTTTTTTTTTTAATAATATCTTTCAAACCAGTAGAGAAAAAAACGTGGAATAAAAGTGAGCAGAAGGAAATCTCCCCAACTCTCTATTCTCCCTTTTTGATATTTAGATATATGCTGGACCCCTGTTCTCTTTTTCTTCTTTTTGAAAGCTGAACATCTGCATTCACAATTTTAATGTTCTACCTAGAAATTTCAATCCTACATACATTTCATGAGAAACCAAGGACTCTGTCCTCTATATCTCTAAATATCTTTTATATTTTTCATCTCCTTTGTTCTTTATGGTACGTTCTGGGTAATTTCTTCAGCGCTTTCAGTTTGTCAATTCTTCCTTCAGCTATGTCTAACCCCTATGTAACTCTTACAGCAAGTTGTCAATGTGAATTACCTTTTCATTTCTAGATATTCTATTTGGTGGTGGTGGTGGTTGTTGTTGTTGTTGTTATTATTATTATTATTATTATTGATGCAGAGTCTCACTCTGTCACCCAGGCTGGAGGGCAGTGACGTGATCTCAGCTCACTGTAGCCTATGCCTCCCAGGTTCAAGCAATTCTCCTGCCTCGCCTCCCAAGTAGCTGGGACTACAGGCATGCACCACTACACCCAGCTAATTTTCGTATTTTTAGTGGAGACGGGGTTTCACGATGTTGGCCAGGTTGGTCTTGAACTCCTGGCCTCAAGTGATTCATGTCTCCCAGTTTCCCACAGTGCTGGGATTACAGGTGTGAGCCACCACGCCCAGCCCCTTATTCATATTTTTAATTCTCCTTTTTTTTGTTGTTGAGATGGAGTCTCACTCTGTTGCCCAGGCTGGAGTGCAGTGGCACAATCTTGGTTCACTGCAACCTCCACCTCCTGGGTTCAAGTGATTCTCCTGCCTCGGCCTCCCCATTAGCTGGGATTACAGGTGCCCGTCACCAGGCCCAGTTAATTTCTTGTATTTTGAGTAGAGATAGGGTTTCCAGGTTGGTCTTGAACTTCTGACCTCAAGTGATCTGCCTGCCTCGGCCTCCCAAAGTGCTAGGATCACAGGCATGAGCCATTGAGCCCGGACTTAATTCCCCTTTTCATCTGTTTAGCCCACTGACACGAACCGAGGGCACTGCTTGAGGCGAGAGGAGCCAGGTCCAAGGAGTCTGACTTGCTCAACCACGAAAGGAATCAATACCTCAGCCACCCTTATCACCCATTTTTGGCACATATGCAACACAGGAGGGCTGTTTCAAGACACCCTGATCCTTACGAAGCAAACAGGGTATTTGGCTTCCCTGTCTAAAATATTCCAAACTTTTAAATTTCACTAATCAGTAAAAGTTTTAGGGAGAGGCATATGCTTGCCAACTTTATATTTACAAAATGAGAACAACAGATTTCTTTTTTTAACTGACTACACCATTATTTCATAAAAGACATTTAACACACAAGCATAGTGGGCCAGGCACGGTGGCTCATGCCTGTAATCCCAGTTCTTTGGGAGGCTGAGGCAGGCAGATCTCTTGAGGCCAGGAGTTTGAGACCAGCCTGGCCAACAGGTGAAACCCTGTCTCTACCTAAAATATAAAAATTAGTCAGGCATGGTGGCACACGCCTGTAATCCCAGCTACTCAGGTAGCTGAGGCAGGAGAATCACTTGAACTTGGGAGGCGGAGTTTGCAGTGAGCCCTGATCATACCACTGCACTCCAGCCTGGGTGACAAGAGTGAGACTCTGTCTCAACAACAAAAGTATGAAGAACATCTCTGAATAATACAAAATCTTTAAATGTAATACGTTTGACCCTAATTTGCTAAGGACTGGCATGGGTCTCCAGCTGGCATTTCTGACTATGGACTAGAGACTAAAGTGAATGGATCTTTCTCTTTCCCTAAATAAAAGAGCATATTAGAAAACTGGCTTCATTTTACCTTTTCTCACATGAGACACCATCGATATCCATGCTCTGGGAACGTGAGAGAGACTGAGATTGCGTTTCAAGGCTATTAGAGGGCGAGCTGCTGAGAGAACTGACTCCTTCACTGCTCTGGCTTCGATGGGCTACTCCTAAACAGAAAACACAGGAAGGATGAAGCCCCATGGGAAATAATGTTCAAGTTATTTGTAATAGCAACAGTAAACACGCACAGTCTGCAGTCACACTGTCATGACATTGCAGCAACCGAGGAATTTCTATCAGAAGATTATATAAAAAGCTGGAAACAATAATAAAATCATAGGAACATCACTAAGAAATCATAAGTTATCAATATACTTCATATGAGGTTGGTAACAGAGCTACCCCTAATGCCTAAAACTCACCCCTCATCACCTCTCTTGCACCAATTCAAACTATGGTCCACAAATACAAATCAGAAACATAAAATAACTTCCATGATAGTCCAGAAAAATCCTTGGAATGCACCCAAAAGAAGAGATATTAATAAACCAGGCCATTGCAGTGGCTCATGCCTGGAATCCCAGCACTTTGGGAGGCCAAGGCAGATGGACAACCCGAGGTTGGGAGTTCGAGACCAGCCTGGCCAACATGGTGAAACCTCATCTCTACTAAAAATACAAAAATTAGCTGGGCGCCTGTAATCCCAGCTACTCAGGAAGCTGAGGCAGGAGAATCCCTTGAATCTGGGAGGAAGAGGTTGCAGTGAGCCAAGATCACAACACGCACTCCAGCCCAGGCGACAGAGCAAGACTCCATCTCAAAAACAACAAAAGGATGTATTAATAAACCTACAGAAAAATGTGTGATAAAGCGAGTATAATAAAATGTTAATGAGACCAGGCATGGTGGCTCATGCCTATAATCCCAGAACTTTGGGAAGTCGAGGCAGGTGAATTACAAGGTCAGGAGATTGAGACCATCCTGGCTAACATGGTAAAACCCCGTCTCTACTAAAAATACAAAAAAATTAGCTGGCCAGCCTGGCTAACACGGTGAAACCCCGTCTCCACTAAAAAATACAAAAAACTAGCCGGGCGAGGTGGCGGGCGCCTGTAGTCCCAGCTACTCAGGAGGCTGAGGCAGGAGAATGGCGTAAACCCGGGAGGCGGAGCTTGCAGTGAGCTGAGATCCGGCCACTGCACTCCAGCCTGGGCGACAGAGCGAGACTCCGTCTCCAAAAAAAAAAAAAAAAAAAAAAAAATAGCTGGGCGTGGTGGTGGACACCTGTAGTCCCAGCTACTCGGGAGGCTGAGGCAGGAGAATCACTTGAACCCAGGAGGCAGAGGTTGCAGTGAGCCAAGATTGCGCTACTGCACTCCAGCCTGGGCAACAGAGTGAGACTGTTAATGTTAAATTTTAAAAAAGTGAATGACAGAATCTGGATGATGAGTATACGGGTGTTCCCTGCAAATTTCTCTCAACTTTCCTATATGTTTAAAATTTTTATAATAAAATGTTGAAAAAAATACAAGAGGACTCAACAATGTTGAGTCTTTGATATAGATTGATCCATTTATTGGTTGGACACCTTAGTGGAAATTAAAAACCTGACACTTTGCTGCCCTCACAGAGCTGACAGTATAGTGAAACTGTAGTCATTAGCATAGGGACAGATGATTTCTCACAACAATTTCCTCATCGATGTCTCTAAAATCATGTTTTACATTGAAATTTTAAAAATTACTTTAACTCTATGAATATCTTCCCATGAAAAAAGAAGAATGTTTACCCAGGCATTTGCAAATACTTTAAAAAATATATATCTATAGTGCTGAAAAGGAAAATGACACATGTTTTAAAAAACTATTGGCTAGGCACGATGGCTCACACCTGTAATCTCAGCACTTTGGGGGGCCGAGGAAGGTGGCTCATTTGAGGTCAGGAGTTCGAGACCAGCATGGCCAATGTGGTAAAATCCTGTTTCTACTTAAAATACAAAATTTAGCTGGGCATGGTGGCGCACGCCTATAATCCCAGCTACTTGGGAAACTCAGGCAGGAGAATCGCATTAACTTGGGAGGTGGAGGTTGCAGTGAGCCAAGATCACCCCACTGCACTGCAGCCTGGGTGACAAAGCAAGACTCCACCTCAAAAAAAAAAAAAAAAAAAAAGATATGAAAAAAGAAAATTTGAGTTACCCGTTGTAGTGAAAACAATTACTGAATAAATATAATTTTAACACTTCCAGCATTCTATGAAAGCAAACTTGCTACCTTTTAATGTTTCTCTTCAATGAAGAATACTACAAAACATTTATTCATTCTTGAAAGCAGTTCTTCACATGTACTAATTTATTAAAACTTCTGCACGACTTACGAAGGAAATAAGAAGGAACTTGATACCAAAGAACTGAATATGGAAAGGGAAAATAGTAACTTTAAGTGGAAAAACATGGCCAGCACTAACTTAAGCATGTGATGATGTTTTAACACCACCAGGGACATCATGTGGATATTACATACCCCTGATACGATGTGATGGGAACAGCACTTCACCTGTGTGACAAAATCTTCCCCAAAACCCACAACCCCAGTCTCATCATGAGGAAAACACCAGACAAAGCCAAATTAAGGGACATTCTACAAAGTACTGACTAGTATTCTTCAAAATTGTCAAGATCATGAAAACAGGACTGAGATACTGTCGTAGACCAATGGAGACTAAGGAGACTCATGTTTAGTTAAAATCATATTCAGGCTAATTCCTTAGTTTTGACAAATGAACCAGATATTAACATTAGGGGAAACTGGATGAAGGGTACACAGGAATCCTGTATACTATCTTCATAACTTCTCTATACATTGAAAGTTAGTCTAAAATAAACATTTATTTTACAAAAAAACCAGGACTGGACACCGGTTCCATCATTTCTAGTTTTGTAATCTTAACCAAATCTTCTTACTTAATATTTTTACCTATGCTCTACAATACTGTCATCTGTGCAGCCTACTTCGTAGTTCTACTTCGAGGAGCCAATGAAAAAAAACAATGTGAATGTGTTTACAAGTTCTATAGATATACCTGTACGCGTCAGACAAGAACAGAATGAGAAATCAGATTTGCCTTGTTACCACAACATCTGCTCTGGTCTTGCCCACTTTTAGCATATTTAAGTACTAAAAAAGAGAGGGGGAGGCCAGGCATGGTGGCTCAAGTCTGTAATTCCAGCACTTTGGGAGGCTGAGGGAATAGATCACTTGAGGTCAGGAGTTTGACACCAGCCTGGTGAAACTCTGTGTCTACTAAAAATACAAACATTAGCCGGGTGTGGTGGCACACGCCTATAGTCCCAGCTACTCGGGAGGCTGAGGCACGAGAATTGCTTGAACCCGGGAGGCAGAGGCTGCAGTGAGATCATGCCACTGCACTCCATCCTGGGCAACAGAGTGAGACTACATCTCAAATAAAAGAGAAAAGAGAGGGGGAACCTTATCCTACCACTGTTCAATGACTTTTCCCTCTCAAGCTATCATTTCAAATAATCACACAAGTGTAATTCCTGTGGATCCACTGATGCTTCTACAGTGGCATTACTTGTTAAAAGTAACTCACAGTGAACAAACAAATGTAATTTATAATCTACCTAACTACTGTAGCTAAAAAGGATATATGCATAAAACTGGATTTTGAGTCCCCCGAGTCCTCATACCTCATTTATCTCAACATCTAAGGTCATTTCCTCCCCCCTGCACCCCTCCCTGATAACTAAGAATACATTTCACAGTGAGTATTTAATAGTCACTGAACACTTTGGGAGGCCAAGGCGGGCGGATCACCTGAGGTCAGGAGTTCAAGAACAGAATGGCCAACATGGCGAAACCCTGTCTCTACTAAAAAATACAAAAAAATAGCTGGGCGTGGCGGTGGGCGCTTGTAATCCCAGCTACCCAGGAGGCAGGAGAACTGCTTGAATCTGGGAGGCGGAGGTTGCAGTGAGGCGAGATGGCGCCACTGTACTCTAACCTGGGGAACAGGGCAAAACTTCTTCTAAAAGAAAAACAAAGTCACTGAATACAAGAGAGCTTTGAGGGTATTTTCTAAATTTATGGCAGCCACATCAAATGGATGCTATTAGTGAACTCTGTACTTGTTCTTAGTACCTTAGTTTCTCTATAAAATGATAGAACTCATGTTTAAAAAAAAATCTCTAACACTTTACAGTTCCATTAAAGTTATAAATTACGTGTTGCTATTTTTTGAAAACCATGCTGCATAGTTTACAATAACAAATCTAAATACTCCATTATGCACCCCCTGTCAAAACAGTGACAAATTTTAGAAACAAAAGAGAAACTGAACCACACAACCTTGGCTGGTGAACATTTTCTGACCCTTCACAAAGGCTTTCTCTCAGGTCAGGGCTGAACTAGTCTCTTTCATCTACCACATTCAGGGAGCCCCGGGAAGACGGGAAGACGGGAAGACGGGAAGACAGGAAGACCGCACCACCTGATTAAACAGAACCGCCTGAAGTCAAGAGGCCTGAGGCCACAAGGTAACAAGTTATTTTCATTCTTTAGGATCACAATATTTCCTGTCACTAGGAGAAGAAAGGAACAAAGGAGTTTTACTTCACTAAGGATAGGGGATGGGTACGGTGACAGGCCAAGGTGTGGCTCTCAGTCTACTTCAGGGGATGAATCCTGCCAAACCTGACCAATGTCCACTTGCTGGAGGCTGGCTAGGGCTTGATGTTAAAGCTCTCCAGGTATGAACATTCAACTCTAGGTGTTAAAGGTGACAAATTCTTCTGAATCCAAAGATTTCAAAATCTTAACTTTTTCTTAAACTTACTTCCCTTGGATTCCAATTGGGAAACTGGAGAGAGGCCGGGTACAGTGGCTCATGCCTGTAATCCTAACACTTTGGGAGGCCAAGGTAGGGGGATCGCTTGACCCCAGGAGTCTGCGACCAGCATCACCAACATGGTGAAACCCCATCTCTACTAAAAATACAAAAAAAATTAGCCAGGCATGGTGGCGGGCGCCTGTAATTCCAGCTACTCAGGAGGCTGAAGCAGTAGAATTGCTTGAACCTGGGAGGTGGAGGCTACAGTGAGCCAAGATTGCGCCACTGCACTCCAGCCTGGGCGACTGAGCAAGACGAT